GGGTATAATGACACAGGTATGCAAAGCAGGCAGGTCCTAAATGGCTAAAAATCTGCTTGTTTGGCTATTTTTTTAAACAACAGGATGTGTAAAAATTTGAGTTTGTGCCAGGCTTCTCAGCTACAGGGTCTCAGCCCGTGGTGAGGAAATAACCAACACAGGGCTGTTGTGGCTCATTTTTATAACACTGGGGAAGCCTGAGGCCCATTTGAGAAGCCAAGAAAGGCCTGCCTAGGGGGAGCTTAGAAAGTGCTRTATTTAAGTCCTGATCTTTTGTTTAAGAGCCCTGGAGAACCACTGTAATCAGAACTGTGGTGGGAAAATAGAAAAAACAAACAAAAACCAAACCAGAACTGGTTGGGAAGTATCACTGTGTAGTGGTGAGCCTGGGGGTAGGCCTCGCATCCATGGGRCAGTCCCATTAAACTCATGGAGAAGTAAGGTAGTGCTTCCAGAGTGTTTRCTCACAGGTAAACTGTAGAACACAGTCACATTCAATCCAGGCTCTGCAGAGACACTAAGGGACAGGTTCAGAGAGGAAGTCTCTGTATGACTCTCATAACCTAGAGTCAGGAAGTGACCTTTCTACTCTTTTGTGGTGTTTGGCTGCTGGAAAGTGTTTCTTTAGCACATTAGACCTTGGTGCTACCATAAGCTATTTGCTTCTTCCCAACCTTGAGTCCCTTTACAAAAGGACAATGGGGCAGGAAGTTCAAGAAGAGAATGTTAGTAAGAGCTGAACACCCTGGTGCACGCCCTGTAATCCCAGTGACTCTGGAGGCTGGGGCAAGAGGATGGCAGGTTTGGCCAACCTCAACAATTTAGAGAAGCACGCTCAAAAAAAAAAAAAAAAAAAAAAGGTGCTAACTAACTAAGGCTGAAGGTATAGCTCTGTGGGTAGAACACTTGCCCAGCATGTGCTCACATGTGCACACACGCACACACATGTACATGTACACACACGTGCACATGCACAAATAAATAAAAAGAATAGGGTGCTGTGGAACATGGGTCCAGGGCACCGGGAGCATGTCATCAGCCCAGGGGCTGGTGTTGCTCTGGGCAAATCTGGCCCATGCACAGCCCCTGRGGGTCTCTTCCCTGCCTAGAGATGTCCACTTCTGTGTTCTAAGTTGCTTGCCCTGCTCCAAATGTCCTGTCTTCACAAATTACTCTTGTCACTACTTCTGATCACACTCCACTAAGAGGACTATACAGGACAAACAGTCTCACCCCCAGAAGCTGTCYGTGACTTTGGTTTGACACTAGCAGGAGTTATCTGTACTTAGTCTCCTTTTCTAAACATAAAATAATCATCTCCTGGTTTGGAAGGAGGAATCTGYACATTTTCAGCCCTGACTTCAGTCTTCAGGATTCCCCTGTCCACTGGCAGTGTCTTGGCCATGTTCCCTCTGTTGCTGTGATTCTGGAGCAGCAGCGTTGGCATTACTTGGGAATTACATTGTTAGAAATGCAAGTTCCTGGACACCCCACCACCACTCCCCCAGACCCACAGGATCAGACCCCCGGGGTGAGCCCAGCACTCTGAGTTGTAACTGGGCCTGGGTGGGGGTGGGGTCTGATGCTTATTGGAGTTGGAGAACCACTTCTGCAGCCCAAGCATGGATACTTGGCAAAAGTGCCCAAAGTTCATCTTCTTTCATARTTAGTATGTAAAAAGGACAATTTGTTTTCTTTTTCTAGGATTTTTTTTCCTCTACCAAAGGACTTTTCAGAATTTATGATATGTGCATGATCTCTTTACAAGAGGGAGATAGRATATGCAGTTTTCCCACTTTATTTGATTAGATGAACCTTCTCCACAAGGGGCAACTCACTGAAATCACTAGTATTCATGGAATATGCTTCAGAAAATGATAGACAATGAGGGGAAAATGAGAGGGAACTGAGAGACAGACAGTAAAGTGATCATCCCATGAGATGGATTATTTGGGAGCTTGCGGCCCTGTTTCACCCCAGCTCCTGAGCATTTATTTATGTGTTTCTACTCATTTAACACTCACTGAGCACCTACTACATGCCAGCGCTGCGCTAGGTTTTGGAGATCCACACTTGATTAACAAATAGAACACAGCTCATTATAATTCAGGGCGATGAGCACTGTGGTAGAGAGATACACAGGTTGGTGTGGGAGCATGGAGAAGAGTGCCCACCTGGTCTCAGGGCTCTCAGTACTCTTGCACAGTCACCTGTGTACCTGTCACTACCATCCTCCATCCTCCACTAGACCTCCYGTGCACACAGGATGGCATACTAATCCCTCCCATTTGCATGTGTGTTAGCTTTGCATCTCTGTGACCAATATACTCAACGAGAACAATTTAGAGGAGGAAAWGTTTATTTTGGCTCTCAGTTTCAGAGATTCAATCCATGGTCAGCCAACTCCATTGCTCTGAGCYCAAGATGAGGCAGAGCATGGTGGTGCAAGGGCGTGGCAGAGGAAAGCATCTCAGGCAATGTGGCAATCAGGAAGCAGAGAGAGCCCTAGTGCAAGGAGCCAGGGATACTATAATTCCCAGGGGCACAACCCCAGTGATCTACTTCTTCCAGACATGCCCTACTTGCCTGCAGTTACCACCCATTAATCCCTTCACATTACTAATCCACCAAATGGATTAATCCATTGATTAGTTTACAGCTCCCATAATTATATCATCTTTGAGCATTCCTGCATTGTCTTACACAGGAGCTTTTGGGGGACACCTCATGTCCAAACCAGAATAGTATGACAGAGAGCTTTGATAGACATTATTGAGTCAGTCTTCATTGTAGTCTCACAGGGAGTGTATTGGTTTTCTATGACTGCTGTAACAAAGCACCRCAAACTTAGTGGCTTAAAACAATACAAATCTATTATCTTCCAGTGGCAGTGACCTAAACTGCACACATTTATTATTTTACTGTTCTTTGGGATAGAATTTCAACACAGGTCTACCTGGATTAAAATCAAGGAGTCAGCAAGGCCATATAATTCCTTCCCAAAGGCTCTAGGGGGAATCTAGTTCCTTGACTTTTCATGGATGAAAGGGAATCCTTAATATGCAGGAGATCAAAGCAGACCAGGTTGTACCCTGCAGTTTTGTGGAAAGTAGAACTTGGAAATCATGAACTGGACATAGATATTTAGCTAAGGAAAGTTTCAAGCAAGTGTTGAAGCCTGGTTTCTTGTTGCCACTTCTAGTGAAACAGGAGAGAAAAGAGTTAAATTGATGGGGAAAAAAATAATCCTAATAGAATCAGGATTTGATGAGTTGGGAAATTCCCAGCCTACCCAAATGGCAAAGTATGCTAAAATTAAGAGATTTGAGACAATGGAGTTCTACTCAGCCGTAAAGAAGAATGAAATTATGGCATTTGCTGGTAAATGGCTGGAAATGGAGAATACGTTAGTGAAAGAAGCTAGACTCAGAAACTCAAAGGTAGAATGCTTTCTCTCATCCACAGAAGCTAGAGTGAAATAAAGGAAAGAGGGAGAGAAGGATAAGATAAAGGGAAAATCAGCAGTGTAGAAGGAGATCAAGAGGCAGAGTGGAGGGGTGGTAAGGGGAG